TATTATTCACAAAATATCTGGGAGAGTAGACAATTTTCAGTTTGATGTGTAGTAATCCGAAAAAACTCAGTGACCAGGATGTTGTTTATTCAAGCCATGTTTACACGGTGCCAGTTGAGGAGTTAATTATCGGAGCCAGTTGCGTGAATGTCTGAGGCCAGTCCAATTGAATGAAAACTTGTCCACACGGCGACCCACAGAAAAAATCAACCAGTAAGTCTACTTCCGCTACTTCATTTCCAAAATTTACGAAGTCCTCGATGACCTCGAACCAAAGTGCGAAGCCAATTTCGTTCTTTTACCATATAAAAACGAAATTTAAGGATATTATAGAAGATTTTGTGGTAAGTTACTTTTTCCGTACTACAAAAACTGAAAACAGTAATAACAACAGCGAATAAACTAAACACAATATCAATTTACGACTTTTATTATAACTAACCCGATGTCCGTGGACCGTCGAATCCTTCGATACTACAGCACTGAAAGCATTGGATGAGAATCTCATCCTAAGAGAGGTTAAAGGTCACCGGCAACTCGGGCGGATCACGTTGCAAGAGAGCCAACTGGTTGTATTCTTCTACTGTGGCGAAACTATTGCCACGGCAGTTGGTGGCGAATAATGGCGGTGTCCTCATCGCCTGTTGTGTGTCGTGATTAATTGAGAGTAATGTGTGACGATCTTTGTCGTGAATGTATCGCTGAGGCTTGCGAAGTTCTCGAAGGAGAGTTGAATAAAGAGAGGAGTGGTAGAAGAAATGGCTATTGAAAAGAGACAGTCACGGAACTTCATCGCAATTATTATAGAGTTACGAATGGAGGATCCATTGGAATATAAAGCTTGTTCAAAGATGAGTCTGGAGAGTTTTGACGAACTATTGCAGCTTGTTGAAAGTAAACTATCTGAGCAAGACACAATAATGAAGGAAGCACTGTCTCCTAAGTTGAAATCAGAAGTGACACTATCGTCACTCCATTTAGGAGTCATAGTTTTTCACGACAGTTCAAAATGAACAATGAAACTTACACACGTAGACGTCTCGACTGACAAAGGCAAACTTGCCCTAAATGAGATATCTACTGCCCCACGTTCACACGGCGCCAACTGCCAAGACAACTACCGTGATAGAGTGGTAGGGGGCGTTACTGACGCTCAGTCAATTGTCCTTTGTCTACAGCTGAATTTCAGGACAACTGGCAGAGCAGTTGGCACGCCAATCGGCCAAAGGTTTTTACACGTAGCCAATAGTTTTGTATTAGTAAGATGGGCTCTGCCAATTGTCTCCTCAACTGGTATCGTGTAAACGGGGCTTTATACGTGACTGTTGAAAAAATAAGTTGAATATTCAAATTTCGTAAGCTACGTACATTCGATTAGCGATTTGTTTATTTTTTTATGTAGGTACACTGGTTTCAAACATCTGTTCGCAGTTTTAGCTGTTCACCATGTTCGGTTTGTTGGTTAGAGGCATAAAAGTTAGAGATATTTTGGGTGCTTTCGAAATAAATGGATCAAAGAATATGCATCGAGTTTTGTGAATGAAATTGGAATTGAGTGTTCAGAAACACTCGAAATCTTGACAGTGGCATACGGCGATTGTACTCAGAGTACTTCTTCAGAAGAAGAGCACTTCGATATCCACTCACACCGGGATTTTTTCCCGAAAACTATAAAAACAACACTATAAAACACTATAAAAAGTTTCAAAGGAAGACACATCATGTAGACTCCTAACAAAACGAAAGTATGTTAGAATTTTAATCTACTACTGCCAATTCAAAAAAAAATCTTGCTAGAAAAAGTATACGAAAAATTACCATTTATCATTGGCACATTATGATTTCATATATTTTCATAAAGCGAATCAGCGTTATCTATTGATTTCGACACTAGTTTTTTGTTTGAAAGCTCATGCAAATTTCCATTGCTATTGAAAAATTCGCAGTCACAAAGTTTTAGTACCATTGATTGGGGAGGAATCTGTATGGGGTTATCTATGGGGTAATCCATCTTTTTCAACGAAAATCTAAAATATATTTTGTTGTTGCTACACCTATTAGCCATATAAATTAGGTTAAGGTTATTGCCTAGTGAGCCATATCTATAACAATAACCAACTGAGCAGAAAGGAATGCAAGAGCCTTGTAAATTCATTGCTCTGTTAATTCTTATTGACTGATTTAATTTTCATTGATGTCATGCTTGAAATCTTTTACGCTTGATACAAGTTACCTATAACTTTTCCTTCACACATAATATGCTAATATTCAAGCTCATTTTTGAGTGCATTCTAAGAAATACTAACCTTTTGAAATTGAAGGTCTTTCGGACAAAAAGTTTATTGACGAATCTGGTACACATTTTTGTGGACTGTACTTCGCTTATTCTATGCTGAACATCATAATTTTCATTCTTGTCGGTAAGGTTCACTTTGAATAGTTTCAAAGAGAAAAGTAGAACGTCAATGTTTTTACGTACAATAAAGATAATTTTTCGAATCTTCATCTTTTTCTTAGCAAATCTACTAATATTCAAAAGGGTGAAATTGAACCATCCAAGTAATCTGAATTCTTCGGTCTGTGAAACCGAACATGCGTAACATGTTCCTTGTAGCGAGCTAATATAGTCCGTTTGGTTTAGCCAACATATTTCGTAAATGCCAGACTTTTTTTTCCAACGTCTTATCTTTTAAACGGCCCAACAGTTGTTGAAGCGACGTACAACGTGCATTTTTGAAATCCAGTCTTATATTAAATTTTGTGAATGTTCATACCAACACACTCGTGTATTTGGGTTCGTATGGAAGCCCTATGTATTTTGAATCTACCTCTTTTCGAAAAGTCGAGGCATTACGAATATACTCTCCAGATTTTTGTTTTCTAACTATTTATTCACTGTTTGATGGATACTTGTTGCTTTCAGCCACCTCCCTTACAACTTTTTCCTCAATCTCATACCTTTGTTTGCTCAAGAGAATTATGAGCAGTCTATGGACAGGAAATTATAGTCCCGCCATTTTTTTAAGGGCAATTATGGGAGCTGTCAGTGAAATACGTGAAAGTGCTCGTATTCTATCTATTTACATTTATATACATCAGATAATTTCAGACCAATTTCTCTCATTCCTTTTTAGGAAAAATATTCGAGATAATTTTGAATATTTGTTTATTCATGTACTTTGAGAAATTCAAATTTCTTCATGAAAATCAGTTTGAATTTCGGAAGAATACCTCCACCATAAACGCTGTAGCCAAAGCAGTTGAAAACATAGTAGAAGGGTTTGAAGACGGTAGGAAATCTGTACTGAATCAATTTGACTCAACAAATGCATTTTGAATGTGTAAATCATAATTTGCTATTAGAAAACTTGAATCTATACGGCCTAAGAGGTATAGCCCTAGCTCTCTTTGACTCGTACCTTCAAGGTAGAAGACTGTCAATGTGCTAAATGGTATCACGTCAGAAACAGTAGCAATGAAATATGGGGTAACGCAGGGCTCTGTGCTCGGGCCCCTCCTATTTATCATTTACGTAATTAACTTATTTTATTATTCAGTTCATTCAACCTGTATCATGTTCACAGTTTGAAACTCAACGCTAGCTAAACAAATCATATGACGTTTTCTTCACAAGTACCAATGAACCTACAAAACTTTTAGGAATTTTTCTAGATCCCTCTCTGAATTGGACGTTTCACATCGAGAGGCTCTGCTCCAAACTTTCAAGCTCCATTTTTATTCTGAGACAACTGAAAAATATAATAAGTTCTGACACACTAATGAATATCTACTATGCTTTTTTTCACTCTCATATGTCCTATGGAGTAATTTTATGGGTTAATGCATCCGTCTCTGTCAAAGTATTTAGGCTTCAAAAAAAAGCTATCCGAATTATTGCTAATGTTGCCTTCAGAGACCATTGTAAACCTTCATTCCAGAAATTCAAAGTCATGACACTACCTTCTCTTTATATTTTCCACTGAGTACTAGAAATTCATAGTAGAAAAAATAAACTGCGTATAAATTCAAACTTTCATGAATATAACACCCGCGGTGCTGGGCATCTCAGACCACAGAGATTTAGATTAAATAAATCTGCTAATAATTCTCTAGATATTGCTCTCTACAATAAATAACCATCCAGTTGGAAGATTCTAGATATGATTTGCTCCGAAAAATAATTAAAAAGATTTTTTTCAGAAAATGGGTTTTATTCAATTCGTGAGTATATGGACACACCTGTCAGCGATACGAATTGTATTTACGTAGTTTCATAAAGTTATCTATCTATATATTCAAGACCCTTGTTGACATTTTCAATAACTAGTACATCCTGGAATGGTACTTCTTCGGTATTTCATACCTAAATTTTATACTTGCAAATATGTTGTTGAGGCAAAGAATCACATTCTCTACCTTACTCCTCTTTGCATAAAAAATGGCAAATACATCATTCACGTGTCGGATCCAGGTTCGTGGAAAGTAATCCAACTCTTCCCTTGCTTTCATTTCAAATCTGCTCATGAATAGATTAGCCATGAAAGGAGACAACGGGTTTCCCATTGCAGTATCCTCATATTACCGATAAAAACAGTTGGCGAACTGGAAGCAATTCTGTTCCATGCAAATTTTGGTAAGCCGGATGTACTCTTTGAATACTCCACCATTAAAAAAATGTAGGGAATAGTCACCAATATAGAGTAAATACATAACAAATTTGAGTTATTAAAAAACAGGTAGTTTAGTATACGAACAATAACAGGTAGTAGTCAGGCTACTAGCATAAAAAATACTAAAATAGTAGTAAAATTTAGTCAAAATGATCATCTGAGGACGCTTACTTGGTAAGCGAAATGCGCGTCAAGAGACCGTAATTTATTTCTGGTGAAAATTGTTTCAAACTTATCATGACAATAATCTACCACATGTTTACTGATTCTTCACAGACGATCATAAACTCTCGTAGCGTACTTCATCTAAAAAGCAGTTTTTAAACTCACCTTCAGGATTGCCACGTACATAAAGACGGGCAACAGCAAAATCGCGGCTCCGGTTAATCCCAAGCTGCAGTTTAGCTCCAGATAAGGTAAACCACCTGGCCACGAAAGTAGGGAATAACCTGCAAAAGACATTTCGTTTTAGCGTGATATAAACAATTAAGTTTAGTCACATTCAGCTTCTAGATAGCACTGCAACATTTAACCTGGATTTATCCGGGAACACGAAGAGGAAGGAATTATTCCGTAATATGTTTTGATATCTTGCTTTCCCAATTTCAAGGTATTGTTTCTTCGAATGGGTGAAATTGGAGATTATAATGATTCAGCAAAAACACATTCATAAGCCCAATACTAGACATCCTGATCTCCAAATGGATCAATTCGAAGGGAGTATTTATTGTATATTATATGTTCTAGAATGGAATGATGACAAACGGTAAGGACGGCGATACTAACTAGTAAGTAAGTAATATATTCATTTTAATGTCATTTTCAATCATTTAGTCACATGATTTGATTTTCCTGCGATTTACAATTAAAATAATCTTATCATAGAACTATGTATTCGATACTCTGTAGCCATCTAAGCTAGGCTTGTATGGTGGCTGTTACAGACTGATATTGGTTGTGTTATATAGTATACTAGTTGTTGCCCGCGTAGAATTTGGTAGTTGTAGTACTAATTAGTACTATGTTGATATATCGCTGCTGTTTCAATGTTTTGACAGAATCAGCATATAACGCTGGCGTGCGCAGCGTTATAGAACAGTGCTTTCAAAAAAATATTCTACAGCGCCATCTAGTGGCGAGTACAGAGAAATTAATAGCCTGAAAACCTTCTCTATGAAAAATTACTTATAAATGTCAAGTTTCATCACGATCGGTTGAGCGATGCAGAAGTTTATCACTTACCAACCAACCAACCAACCAACAAACATCCATTTTTATATATTAGATAATAAAATAAATACATAAAAGCTAAGATAGGTCGTTTATATTACTGTCTACCTTACTAGGTTTAAAACCGCAGTTGGAGAATGATGACTAGAGGGTGGTAGTAAGAAGAAAGAGAGAAAGCAGGTAATTTACCTGAAACATTTTCAAAGAAATCCTGCAATTGATCATAATGATTTCTGATGAAAACTTTCAGTTCCTTCTTTAGTTTACAGTAATTATTAATATTCTTCATATAGAGTGGTAGCTTATTGTATAATTTCGGGCCAAAATAAGTTACTTTCTGGTTATGACTCAATCTACAGCGTGGTATTATAATTCTTGGAGGTCATTCGCGTACTCAGCGATACCTCTAATTCTGTTGGTCATGTCCTAGATATATTCATCTGCCAGATTATACAACTCAAAAGACATTTATTAGCTAACTGACAGTTCTGTTTTTATATTTTTGTTTTAATATGGATTCACAAATTATATTATATAAGTACATATTTGTAAATGCCACTGTTACTCCCTATTCTGTAATTGGGTTCATCCTGTAGAATAGTGTATGAAATAAATGAATAAATAAATAAATTATAAATATAATGATGTTAATGGAGTTACTACAAATCCATGATAACATTGATAATCGTATAATTTGCTGACTTTGAACAAACCACTTTATTCGTAGAGTAACTCTGTAGAATATCTCCTATCCTTCTTCAAGGCGATTTTGATCAGTGTGTTTTGTATCACATCAAGATTATGTTCTTCATCTGGTTTCATCCGGCTAAAACGCTTTATTATTGAAACCTAATGGTTGTAAATGAAGAGTTGAATAAATTCCAGTGTGAGACATTCGAAAGAGTTTTACGTTCTACTCTCAACAGAAAAAATTAATAAAACCAGTATCTTTCGCATGTAAAATCTTTTGTGGTAATATACATGTTTCCAAATTTCATTTCCAGCCAAATTCACGGGCACACTAATAACACGGGTATGGCGACCCCGCCTATTGGCCATCGAGACTGTATCAACTCAATTTTCCAGTTCAACGAATGCAGCTTTGGGAATATCAGCTCCCGTCTTTTCCCGAAGCTTGACTCGATACGCCACTTTCCGAAAACGCATATTCTCAGCTCGATTAATCTTGTTAGGTCCCATTTTGAATCGGGTCAAGCAAGTTCCGTCAAGTTGATGAATGGATGTCTTACTGCGGTTTTCCGCTTGAAAAGCAGCAGAAGCGGCAATGTATGATTTTCATTTGTTTTCCAAAGTCTGGCGCTGTGTAAATTGGTCAGGAAATGTTATTATATATGTAGGGTAGGACTACAGAGAAGGCGACATCTAGGTTTGATAACTCGAATGTCAAACACAAGGAACAATGATTATTGTCATTAGTAACCATAGTACACTAGAATTCAATTTTAATATTCTTCTATACATATTGTAGATACACTGAAGGTGTTGTCCAGAGTGCCAGATAACTGAGAATCACAAAATGTATCAATCTACAGGTTTTCCGAAGATATGACACCGAGAAAAAATATTAACGAACGGTAATAACAGAATAAAGTTCTAACAAACTAGTTAATTTCAGAAAGGTTGTGTTCCAGTAGAATTCTTTCAAATCCTTTCTTTTCGGACCTGAATAGGACCATTGGACCTGAAAGTGGAATCCAGGAAAACTCAACGGCTGCATAGTCGAAACCACTTCATACTCCAATGAAGGTAAAATTACTTTCGGCATCCTACAAGGTTCGTTACTGGGCCCACTTTCATTCTTAATTTATATTAATGACCTATCGTCTATCAACATCCAAGAAAAATTTACTTCATTTGCTGATGATACGACAATTGTATGGCATGCTCCTACCAATCATACATTGTATGAATTTATTGAGAATGACATCACGAAAGTGAAAGACTGGTTTGACGCAAATCTCTTGAGCTTGAATGTATCAAAAAGAAAAGTAGTGTCGTCCTATCGTTGCCAGATTCCAGCCGTACGTCTAAATAATAATCAAATTGACAACGAACCAACTTCTAAATTCCTTGGCTTGCTCATTGACAATAATTTAAAATTCAATAAACATGAAGATACTTTGAAATCTAAGCTCTCCTTTGATTTTATGCAAGACGAGTAAGTGCATTTGAGTTCGGATCTGCAGTAGCTAGAATGGTTTATCATTCCTTTTTAGAATCCCATCTTCATTATGGTATTTGCTTTTGGGGTGTGTTTTCTACCACATGCCTTCAATCAGTATTACTGATACAAAAAGTGCAATACGATGCATATTCAAAGCCAAGCCTAGGGACTCTTGTCGGCCTCTTTTTGCCTCTAAAAGAATCCTAACTGTGGTCTCCTTATTTATATATGAGACAATCTGCCTTCTCTTTGAAAATAGGAACTTGTTTAACAACTTGGACGAGCCAATGTATCAAACCAGGCAAAGATTCAGCTTCAGTTAAAGATTCCATTATTTACAACGGTCTCAAAATGTTCAATCACCTTCCTCAAGCTATAAGAAACATAAATGACCTTAGAGCTCTTAAGAAAGAGTTGAAATACTTGCTTTCTGTGAGACCTTATTATAGCTCAGCATGATTCTACGATGATAATTTTAATTGAATATGACTAACTGTAATATCTACGGTATTTCATTGATTTGATTCAAATTAGTTAAAATTGATTTATTTAATTTCATTGACCATGTTCTAATAGCCTGAGCCTTTGTATTAGGTTATTGTTATTTACTTTTAGTGATTTTACTGTTGCCATAGTTTTGTGATTTCATTTATATGTTATTTATATTTCGCACAAAGCTTTGTCAATGAGAATTTATTCTTTAGACAATAAAGTATATTTGAATTGAATTGAATATCTGATTTCCATTGGTTAAATTTGGTCAGAACAGTGACAGTGGTCAAAACTGTGAGGATAATGCATAAGTAGGCCCTGAGAGTCACATATAATTCAAGAATAATGACACCCAGATGCTGATTCCATGGCTGTCACTTTCATCGCTGTTGGGAAGAATAGTTTTATCACTGTGATACTTTTTTTGGTGGCCTAGCCTTCATTTTTTTATCATTTCATCGGTTGGAAGAAAATAATCACAGTACATACCATTTTCTAATTGGAAATCGAGACACCTACTGTGAAGGACACATGTTTCTCAAATTTCCCACTCACGTTTCCGTCAACTGACAGAATCTACTAATTTCAGTCATTCTAGTTATTCTGTTCGGTATTTACTCTGCTCGTAAATTATCAGTTCGAAGTCCTGCCATTCACAATTAAATTCCCCAACAGAAGCAGGTCGATATATCTAGTAGGAATTAACAAGGCTTTCAAAGTGCGAGTAAATTCTCCATCCGAACCGAAGTCAAAGTTTGAGCTTCGCCTATCTCATTGTAATCTCCAGATAATTTATACTCTCTCATCCTTTATCCAAGGTATGTCCCAGCTGACATGGATGCTTTTATACTGCATCAATATTTGAATAGCATCCAGTTTTACGACCTTATCAGAGTTTTTTAATATTTTATTCGTTGACTAAGGTAGCGAAGTATTTTTATTCAACTTTGTAGAGTGTCGTTTCTGTCGATATGGTTTCCACGGCGTTGTATTATCGGCTGTATGGCAATGAAAATGTTTTTTGAGATACTTGATATTGATCCAGGAGCCCGTCAATGGGGAATCTCCGTTATTTTATAAAAGCTGGAAGTTACTCAGCGCATTGCCCAAACATAGTTCGGGAACAATGGGTTTGGATCTTCGAGGGTTTGATAGGTGGCAAAGCTGTAAAAACACTTCAACTGCTACCCTCAACCTTTGTACTTACGTTAGTAAGTGGAAGCTGTAATTTATATGTGTCCAACCAACATCTCAGGTGGTATACTCAAATATGTTGGTTCTTCACATAAACGTAACTGGTGTTCAGATATGTCTCAATATATTTTCATATGTTGTTTAGTGCGTAAGTTACAGCGAGGTTCCTGAACAGTTGGGTTGTTGTTGACTCTACTCTTCTATTGAAGTATTGTCCTTCAATTGAAAGTCATTGTTTTTCCGATTATTGCATGTTTATCTGTTTGTACAGAAATAAATTTATTCTTTGTTTTGTGTCTTCAATGTGTATTATTCATTTTTATACTCTATTTTGGAAGGATTTTTGCT